TTTATGAGGTTAATGGCGTGAAGAAAACGGCAGTGTACAAATGGATTAAACATATTCCCAAGGGAAGGCAAAGAATCACTGATAATGAGAGGTCAGGGTGTCTAGGAATAAGCAGAATTGAGGAAAATATTGAAAAAATTTGTTGAGCATCAAAATCGTCAGCTGACTGTGAGACGCATAGCAGCCCAAGTAAAAATTGATAGAGAAAAGTTGAGAACATTTGACTGAAATTCTTGGCCATCAACTCATGGCTCCTGCATTACTACAATACAGCAGCTCACACGGCCTTGTCTGTGAGGGAATTTAGTCAGTAAGCAAATAACAGTATTGGAACACCCTCACTATGTAGATATCTGGTCCCCATGACATAATTCTTTGTCTAAAGATAAAGAAAATATGGAAAGGAAGGCATTTTGTTGACATTCAGGTCAAGGGTAATACAATGACAGCTTTGCTGGCTGTTTCACAAAAAGAATTCCAAAACTGCTTTGATGGTGTATAGATTCCCAAGGGGAGGTTTTTGACTACAGTGACATTCAGCAATGAAGTATGTAGCATTTTTTTCTAGGATGAATTTGCAAACTTAAGTGTCAGACCAACATCATTTGTACTTCATAAAAACATATAATGAAATTTTACGTGTCTCTGTATTCTGAGTTTCCAGCTTTCTCTTTACATATATCATAATATGAAAGTTGAAGAATTTCTTTCTGATCAATTGCAGTGGACCAATATATAAGACATTGATGCTACATTCTGAAATCAGACCTAGATGAGCTATTTTTTTTCAATTTTGAATCCTGTTTCCACATTATACTTTGTGTTCAAACGTGATTATCTAGAATCAAAATGAGTAATCATAATGGCACTGTATAGTGGATATCCTTACTCATTCTAAGAATTACGGAAAATCTTACTCATTGTAAAGTTACTGTTGGTAATGAGTGATCTATAAAACAATGTTTTCTCCTCTCTGTGATTTAAAATTTACACTTAGCGGAAAGAATACCTGTTCAAACAATATTACATAATTCCTATGTGTTGCTGATACAGTTTTACACATCCTAGGATATCATTTTTTCCATCTTTCATAATTGGGATGTCTAACTGTATCTATAGGAAAAAAGTAAGAAAGGAGAAAAGTGGTTCGATTCTAGATATATAGAAGATGGGACTAGCTAAATCCATCTCGTGCAAACTTCTAGAAAGGCTGGATAACTTATAAAAGATGCTCTTTATAAGTATATAGCTGAGTATGTAATAGAGGAAGGGAAAAGGGCAAGGATACAAAGAAACTCACTTGGTCAATAAGCTCATACGAGAATTCTCAAGCTGACCTATTTTAACAGTAGAAATGCAAATTGTAGTCAGATGTAGGTATGATTTTACACAAAACAGACTGATAAATATCAATAAGAACGATTACACTAAGTATTACTACAAGTGTCATATAAATGGAAATCTTAGATATATCTAGTGAAAAACTAAATTAGTGTAACCAGTTTTTTCAAATAATTGTATAATACCAAGGAGGGCCAAGTTGTCCTTTCTCTGTCACTGTTCTCTGAATCAACAATTAGAAAATATAACTTAAATCTATACTATTGATAACGGCAGCTCTTCCAAATGTGTGAAAGGAGACATTGAGATATCTTTACTAGGAACAGTGAAACTAATAACCTTCTAATTATCTCCCCTAAATAGAAGAATGAATCAATAGACTGACTTCTTTATGTAATTATTTATATGAATGAAAATGCGAAATTATATACACAGCATAAATATGGCTATATCTCAAAAGGAAAAAATAAAACATGTAATTGAGAAAAAGTGGGATATCATGATATCATTCACAAAACTTTTGGAATAACACAAAATTATATTCTATATTTCAAGAATACTAAGGTGTACGCATTGTATGAATGTCTCTAAAATCAGAATGAATCTTATAGTTAAGATAATGTTGATTTAATTTAGCATGGAGTTACTACCTCATTGATACCCAAAATAATGTCATGACTTACAATTTATGATACCTTAGATTAGCTGAAATATAGATAATTTATGGAAATATATACAGCTGACTCTTGAACAACATGGCTTTGAACTATGTGGATATATATATATTCAGATTGCTTCCCTTCTGCCATTCCTGAGACAGGAAGCCCAACTTCTCCTCTTCCTCTTTCTCCTTAGCCTAATCAGTGTGAAGACAAGAAGGATGGAGAACTTTATATAATCATCCACTTCCACATAATGAATAGTATAAATATTTTCTCTCCCATATAACTTTTTAAATAAAATTTTATTTTCTATTGCTTATTTTATACTGAAATATATCATGTGATATACAAAGCAAACATGTACAAAGTATACGTCCATTGGGTGTTTATGTAATTTAGTAGGACCTCTGATCAACAATGGGGTATTAGAAGTTAAGTTTAGAGGGAGTCAAGAGTTTTGTGTGAGTTTATAGCTGTAGGGGCTCAGATTCCCAACCTTTTCATTATTCAAGCGTCAATTGCACAGTACAAAGTGCATATGCAAAACACACAGGCACACACACCACATTATACTAAAAACTAAGGCTATGTTCATTAACCTCTGTTGTAGGAGGTCTACGAGGCATCTTCAAAAAGTTCATGGGAAATGAGTATTATGAAAAACTTATGCATGGATTCAAAATTTTTTTACATCAAAATAAAGTTGTAGTCTCAGTGCCTGTGGCTCAAGTGGCTAAGGCACCAGCCATATACACCTAAGGTGGAGGGTTCAAATCCAGCCCGGGCCTGCCAAACAATTACGGCTGCAACCAAAAAATAGCCAAGCATTGTGGCAGTTGCCTGTGGTCCCAGCTACTTGGAAGGTGAAGGCAGGAGACTCGCTTGAGCCCAGGAGTTGGAGGTTCTGTGAGCTGTGATGCCATGGCACTCTACCCAGGCAGACAGCTTGAGGCTCTGTCACAAAAAAAAAAAAAAAAAAAGTTGTAGGCTCGGCACCTGTGGCTCAAGTGGCTAAGGCGCCAGCCACATACACCTAAGGTGGCAGGTTCAAATCCAGCCCAGGCCTGCCAAACAACAATGATGGCTGCAACAACAACAACAACAACAACAAAAAAATTAGCCAGGTGTTGTGGCGGGCGCCTGTGGTCCTAGCTACTTGGGAGGTGGAGGCAGGAGACTCCTTGAGCCCAGGAGTTGGAGGTTGCTGTGAGCTGTGATGCCATGGCACTCTACCCAGGCAGACAGCTTGAGGCTCTGTCTCAAAAAAAGCTGTATTAACTCGTAATAACATGTTTGAACAGGATCTAGTTTGAGGCAATAAGAAAGATAAAACATCAGTTGAAAAGAGCCCAGGTCAGAGCATCATGTAGTCTGCTAAAACTGAAGCAGTGAAGCTTAGGTAGAAGAATGCTGAATCATTGATGGTTTAAAAAAAGTTTTGGGGAACAAATCCATCAAGATATCTACAGTTTATACACGGATACCTTGTTTTAAGAAGAGTGGAGAACATACTGAAGATGAAGCCAGCAGTACCAAACAATCACATCAATTGCAAAGTAATAATAATCTTACATGTTACACATCAGAAAAAATAACCAACACCATAACAACCCTTCTGGTTGAACTAAAACAATTCTAACTTAAAAATTAAAGTTCAGCAACATCTCCACTCATTGGGTGTCAAAACTATTGCACTCAAGTCAGCTGCACTCAAGAGCAGAGCTTTCCAAGGAAATTTTAAACAAGTGAGATGACAATGTTGAAGCATTGATTTGAAGAAATGTAACAAGAAATGAAACATGGATTTATGAGCACGATCCTGAAGACAAAGCACAATTAAAGCAGTGACTACCAAGAGGTGGAAGTGACCAAGTCAAAGCAAAAGTGTTAGGGTCAAGAGCAAAAGCCAAAGAAACAATTTTTCAGTATGGTAAAAGAATTTTGCTTGTTTACTTTATAGAGGGTCATAGAACAATAACATCTGCTTACTATGACATTATTTTGTGAGAATTAGTCAAAGCTTAAGAAAAAACAATGCCAAGGGAAGCTTCACCAGAGAGTTCTGTTCACCAAAGCCATGATCCTGCTTATTCCTCTTACCAAGGGACATTTGGGGAGAGTTTTCATAGTAAATTATTAGGCATTCACTTTCTTTTACAGTCCTACTCTGGCTCTTTCTGACTTCTTTTTACTTCCTAATTTTAAAAAAAGAAAATTCTTTGAAGTACACCCCTATTTCTTCAATTAATAATATATATATAAATAAAAGACTGCATTGACTTTATAAATTTCCAGGACCCTCATTCTTTGGGGGTGGACTTCAAATGGCTAATTTCATTGCTCTCAAATATCTTGAACTTAAAAGAATTTACATTGAGAAATACAATTTTTATTTTTATATTTTAACCCCACAAACTTTTTGAAGTCCCTTCTGTGTCATAATGACTTAGCTATTTGTTCCAGGAAACATTGGTTGAGGAAAATTAAGACTAACCCATAAATAACTGCATTTTTTTTTTTTTTTTTGCTTCAGGAAATTCCTATAGATTGATTTATCAGAGGTAGAAGTCTGCTCATTGGGGCAAACAACACACTTATCCAACAGGTTACTTGTCCAGACCCATTTGAAGACACTCAATGTGCTGTGTTCCTCTATGAGTTCTTATACTGCAAACTTATTACAACTGCAATAATTGTCACACCTTGAAAGACAAACTTTAAACCATTTATAAATTGATCCAAAATACCTACAAATATCCTCATCATGATAATATTTTCCCATTTGCAATGAGTTCAACTCTCAACTACAGTGAATGTTTCTTTATTAGGGTTATGTAGTACGTAGTATTTTGTAGAGTTAAACAATGCACCCCCTTGCAAATACCTATTCCCTCTGGGGAGAATGTGAGAGTAGATAGGGGCTACAGTACAAAATATAAATATTTTCTTTCTTGGGAAATGAGAAAATTAAGGAGGGAATTTTTTTTTATTATTATTCAGGGGAAGCACGAAGGCAGTCCCCCACTCCCACAAATTATGCAGTCGACTTTCCCACAGTTGGGGAAATCACGGTGGTCAACACATCTGGAGTGCGAGGGATAAGCCTCACCCTGGGAAAACCACCTTCATGATCAAGGTATCTCCCCTGCCGGGTAAGTATAGGAGGGAAATTTTTAATATGTATTTACTTTTGGTTTGTTATTTTTTTTTCTGAGCTTTTACTATCACTTAAATATTTCATAGTTTAAAAATATAAAAGAAGCTAGAGAGATGAAAAGTCCAGGGAAACATTGATAATAAAAAGTTTTATTCAGAAAAATTAGCATTACCAGTGGAATTCAGCTTTAAATCTGAATGGGTTTTCCAACCACCTGTGTAAAATAAATAAAAAAAGCAAACGTGATCTATGACAGAGTTCTCATTATTAGAAGGAGGAAACATGCCAGTTTCTGGAGGGAGATGGTATTTATCTGACATTAAATTCTGTATGGATGCCAAATATACAATTTTGCAGAAGGAAAAATGACTATTAAAATTTATATGATATCCAGTGTAAAACTGAAGCCAAATAGTATCATCCCGGACTGAGCTTCGGAAAGCAAGCAATAAACCTGAATTTCCTTTTCTAAAGATGATTCCTCATAGGTGATTTACATCCTTCTGGGACTTTTCCTTCTTGCTACATTTTGAAATATAATTTACTCTTGTTTCTTGGTTAAAAGATGTGAAGAATTAACAAATACGTGTAGGACTTAGAAAATTATTTCTTGGGTGTTTTTTGGGATTTTTGCTGTTGCTTACTGGAATCTGATCAAAGTAAAAAGCTTTTGCACAGCCAAGAGCACAGCAAGTAAAGCAAACAGACCACCCTCAGGATGGGAGAATGATAACCATTGCAGGTTATCAATGGTTTTACTTGATTATTTACCTTCAGTTTTCTCTACTTCAATCATGTTCTACGTAAACAAAGGCTATGTTTTTCTTACTTTCTTTTTATGCCAAAATCGTACATATTGGGTGTTGATTAAATATTAGTTGAATGGGAATAAATGGAGAGACATTTCCCAAAACACAGTTCAGGACTTTAAAAATGTAAATGGATGATTAAAATCAATAAATTTATATCAATTAAGTCAGTGAAATCTCAGTAAGTGTTATAATCTTTCTGGTCTCTTGTTTAAATGATCTAATATGGTAATGAAAACCATAATTATATAAAATATGATTTAATATTCCCTATTTCCAGACTTGTCTGACTGAAATTTCTTTGTCCTTTTATATGCAAATTTTATTTTATAGAACCCCCCTGAATTACTATTACTGTAAATATGTACATAGATCTTACTTAAACTACAATAAAGCAATTTAATTTTTATTTTAATTAATCTCATTATAAAAAAGCAGAGCAATTGTGGTAAAGGTAATTAATAATCCCTCCCCAATGCTGTTATTATATCACATTTTCTAAAGTTATTTTTTATTTATTTCATAGATTATTTTCCAGAAGGTTTTCCAATAGAAATATCCTCATAAACCTAAATGTTATAAACTGTTTTCTTATAAAAGCAAATCGCAAATTGCCATAAAAAATGCTCATATCGTTAAATAGATTAAATAAAGAAATACGTCAGCCAAAGTTAAAATAGTCTTTGAACCAAAGATTTATAGCCCACCTACTTATAGCAGAATATCTTCTGAAATATATTTGAATGATTGTCTTGGTCTTGGGTTAATTAATCTTTTAAATTACAATTCAGATAGTATGTGTAACAAAAAGCATAATTTTGAATTTATTATATCTTTTATTTTAGTATACATAAAAGACATGAAAATGAACAACACTTTTCAATCTCTGTTACGTATCTTACATTGATGTCTCAGTACATAGAAGGACATATTTCAGGATGAGTTTCTCGGGAAGCCAATTCTACAGAGAAGATTAGTGATCAGGGAGTTTTTAAGGAGACATCCCTCCAATCAGCACTTGTGGAAAGGAAGGAGAGCAGAGCCAGGGAGAGGAGAAGTCCCCAGTAGCACACTCTTATTGAATGACTAAGTTTTTTCTCCATCTCTGGAGCCAACAAGGTCCTCTAGACTTATCTTGACTTAGGGGAAGGGCACCAGAGCTTTATACTCCTACACCAATCCATGATGGCATGCATACTGCACAGAAAGGAATATGCTCTTGGAGAAAGAGTCTTCAATTGAGACAATTTTCAAAGTAGGCTGAGAGCTGAGGGCTGCTCAGCTAGCAGCATTTTCATCAGCTCATGCTTCAGGTTGCCCATTCCTTAAGAGGAATATTGGTAGATTATTATGAAGCAGACTCTTATGGAAAGATTTTAAACCACCGAAATTTATTTCTTCAATTACGTTCTAGAAACTGCTCCTCCAAGATTGCAATGGGCCTCCTTTCCCAGAGAAATATAGAAGATAAAGATGAGAAGGACAAACCACATGCCCTTCTAGTGTGCCTGACATCAGGGGCACGGAAAATATGCATTGTCCCCCACTTTGTACACTCAGCTGACTCTCTGGTGGTTGGGGGGTTTATATGTTGTGTGCTCCAGACTCTTCCATGAGTGACCCAAAGTCCTTACCATCAGGACATTTTCAAGGTATGTTTGCTTCTCTTGTCATTTACTATAAGAGTTGTCCAAAGACATACTAAGAGGCATCCAGGTGAATCACCTGAGTCCCAGCACACATTCTTCCCAGCCTGTAGTGTGTATTGGTAACCCTACTTTCCTTGCCAAACGGTGTAGCTCTTTTGCTTACTTGCTCAAAGTTTAGCAGACGGACCCTGAAGTGTTGGTTCAGCTGCTGTGGCGTATAATTTGATGGTCTCTTGTTTTACCCCTGGAAGAAGTATTTCTCATTTGGAAAATGGGACCTTTAAACCTGCAGAATCCAGAGTTGCAGCAGTAGAAAGCAACATTTCTACAGATCACTAAGCTGAGGGTAACTGGGGTCAGGGCTCCTTTCTCCCTTTCTGTCCTGCACACAACGCTAAATAAACATTATTGGCAAAATTTTACCAAATCCTTAAGGGTAGCAAGGCACTCTAGCTAAGTATGACCTCTAAATTGGTGTTCCAACTTAGCCTTCAAAAAGCATTTTCAAAGATTTATAAAGCTATGGGCCTTGTGCCCAGTAGTTCTCACGATCACATGACCACTCCTGTATGTTCTTTGCTGTTAAGAGGGTTTCTTGGTTTTACGTGGTGATATATGGGCTCTTATGCTGACAGATTAAATGCTCTCTAAACCTGTAAAGGGTCCTGGTTGACGCCAATTAGGTAAAAAGTAAAATTGATACCTGGTATGTGCATCTGTTTCTATCAGAAGGACTTACTGCCTCTTCTAGGGTATAAAAAATCAAATGGAGTCACTTCCACTAACTGCCCAGTTTAACTTCTTGAAGGGTGGGACTTTATCAGGAGCTCAGGTTTTGATTTTGTGGCTGGCAACAGGGCATTTGTCAGCCAGCAGCAGCTGGCTCTACCTTCCAAATCAGAGATCCGCGCAATTTTCCTCATGCATAACCCCCATACCTGCCACCGACCTACTCCATCAATGTGCAATTGTACCAACCTTGAACGATTGGAGAGGGAAGGTGAGTGACTTTACCTAGCCAAGTAATGTTGTTGGACTGGATTTTTTAGTACCACTTACAGAAATTACTATGTGACATAAAGGCCCCTTCGCTTAATATAATCATTTCTGGAAAGGCTACCAGAAAAGTTTAAAGACACAAAGACGCACATAACCACCTCGTAGAATTTTTACCTACATAAAGCTATTATTCTAAAAGAATAGACACCAAACGAATGAATGAAATGGTCTTCTACTGGAAATAGGAATTTTCTACACTCTTCTGTTTGTTCAAAGTTTTCATAAACAGGCTTATTCATTCATCTTTTCACATGTGTATTGGTCAAAATCTCAGAAAGGAGCATAAGTTTTATATTGATTTGGTATTTTCTGTAAACAGTTTGAGCTTTTTTTGCCAGCTTTAAATTCATGAAGTGTCCTACTTTTAGAAGAGGATCTGAGTATGTCAAGAGGCTGATAATTGATGGCTAACAGGATTTGCCTGTATCTGTTAAAAAAAATAATAAAGATCTCTGAAATTTGGAAAGGTAAATAATAATTTTTGATGCAAAATAAAGAAAACAAGTGTTATGAAGGTTAAAAGCTATGCAGCTATAAATATTAACTATAAATATATTTAAATTTAAAAAACTAATGAAAGCATGTCATAAACTTGCTTGATAAACTTCTCTGTATGTATCACTAAACTACCGTTTGGAGATAGACATGTTTTTGGTGGTCAAATCTTGTTTTTTTCCATTATTCAAGTAAAATCCGGAAAGCCACTTACTACTAAAAGAGAGTCTATCTTGAAGCTATTTTCTGTATGTTTTAAACATACATAGCTTTGAAATTGTAACAGTTGCCACAACTCACACTAAATTGTGATATGCATCAAAGCTGTGCATGCTGCATTTTAAAAATATCTTACCAATATTAAATTTGCGAAAAACCCAGCTCATGGAAAAATAGTAAGCACAAAATAAAAGCAATAAATACATATATTAATGATTTCACATCAGATTGTATTGAATTGTCCTGAAGTGTTTATAGTGTGTGTGTGTTTTACTAATACACACCCCATTCTCTAATGATTATGGTCATCCAATGGAAACATTTTCCTCCTTCGCTTTTCTTGCTTCCTTGTCTCTGTCCTTACACTTCTTCCTTCTAATATGCGATATCTAAAGACTACTGGAGAGTTTATGTAATCATCTCTGTTGAAAAAGTACTTCAGACTTGGATAAGGGCTCCCATTGTCTGGTCAGTGGATCCAACACTTGGCCAGAAGTCTGAGCTTTTCTATTTTCATGGCAACACAAACACGCTGTTCCTTCATGTGTAGAGAACTCATGGTGGCTTTTTCCTATCACAAGACAAGGAGTTGTTAAGTGTCAAGGAGTGAAAATATAGTGGAGAGAAAAAGTGAAAAAAACGTAGATAAATGGGGAGAGATCTACAGTCGCGTATGAAAAGGTTCAGTATTTTTGAAATGCTGATAAACTCCAATTAAGTCTTAAATTTACTAGAATATCACTCAAATATAGGCAGGATTTTTACTTGATGA